CGAGTGGCTATATGGTCGATAGCACTCACTTTCATGTCTCACTACAAACTTGATCTCCTTGCAAAGAGAGACACAGTGGTTGGTAGAGCGGTTTTGTTTGCTGCATTGGAATGACTCCCTCCTCCTTTTGGAAAACTTGCCAGTCTACCACAGGTGTGCATTTCACAGATGCCACACTGAAGAAGGAGAGGTTGCTTACCTATAACCACCTTTCTTCGAGTGGTCACCTGTGAAATTCACACAACCCACCCTTCCTCTCTGCATCATCATGCCTTACCAAGAGCAGCTGCTTTCCGTCTCTGGAACTAAAGTGCCAGTCCCTGAGACCTTCAGTTATACTACTGGAGATGGATGGGGCTGGAGTCCACTGACTGAAGAGCTTATTAAAAGAGTCCACAAAAGCTGCTTGGTGCAGGAAATACCACAGGTATGAATTTCACAGATAACCACTCGAAGAAAGGCGGTTACAGGTAAACAACCTCTCCCTCTGCTGCTCTGGGATCTGGGATGCATTGGCATCTGCTGCAGCAGATTAAAGATCATAACTCGAACTTTCCTGCAACTTTTGTGAATGCACTGTATACCCTTTAATTCACACTGCAGTGTGCACTGGTAGTATGTGTGGCCATCACAGCTTCAGTTCGGCATGAATCCACATTAAATTGTCAGTGTAGATGGGGCCTTAGTAAGTCAGTTTCAGTAATTTAGTGGGTCAGTTCTAGTCAGGATAATTAATAGGGCTTAAGGCTCTTCCGTTTCTAAATGCCACATCAGCAGTACACACAGGCCTTTGTATTGGGCGTCCCACAGGCATCAGTATAATTATGGAGTCAGAATAGATGAGTGCAAGAGCAACTTTACCCAAATTCTCCAGTTTCCAGTATGTTCTCAGTATATCTTCTGATCCTTGTTTTTGTCAAGCTTATCGAATGAGGCTGTTCCATTTACACCTTCAATATTCTCAGTTCTTTGGCTTGTCATAAATATCTTTTCACTTCTCAGCAAAATGCATCAATAATTACAGAAGTTTGCGGTGGTTGCTTTTCATCTCCCTTCATCATAAAAAATATTTGGTGGGGCAGAGTGGGGAGAGGGAGGAAGACTTGTTAATTCAGTATTAACTGTTGAAGATTCAGCTACTCTACGACTTCCCTGCACCTGTGTTTTCCTTACTTTTTATGCAGATCTGTAAACTAATTTGTCTCCATACACTAACTGCTGAGCATAGAGTTTTAAAAATATGGTGAATAGAGTTGCCATACCAACCAGCCACCCAGATTTCACTGATTTCCTTAGGCATGACACCCAGTACCCTCTTGCCTGAATTCCAAACTTTTTTCTCTTTTCCATTTTAAAGCAAGTCTTTAATCTTTGTAGGAGCAGAGTTATACACCCAAATGTGCAGTCTTTCCAATTTTGTGAGAAGCAAACCTGTTTGTGCCTTTGAGTGTGTTTAGCTAATGAGTGACCTGTAACTACATTTATGGCCTGTCCTCTATAAGGGCTCTTCCAGCCAGGCCGTATATACCAGGAGCTGAGAAGTTCCACTGCACTTGGATCAGTGTTACAACATGGAGAGCAAATTTAACTGAAGTCTGTATTGTCAAAGGCTTTCATGGCTGGAATCACTGGATTGTTATAGGTTTTTTCAGGCTGTATTTTTCAGTTTTTTTCAGGCTGGTTTTCTCAAAAGCAAGTCATGCCAGATGAACCTTATCTCTTTTTGATACAGTTACAAGCTTGGTAGATGCAGGGATGTAGTATATCTTGATTTCAGTAAGAACATTGACAAAGTCCCCCATGATATTCTCACAAAGACATTAGTAAGATGTAGGCTAGACCATAGCTTCTTAAACTTAAGGTTGCAACCTCATTTGGAGTCCCCTAACTGAGCTTGTAGGTTGCCCCCCACCCCAAAATCCTATGTAATTTTCCACCTAGTGGCTGTTTTAGACATTTACATGAATTTGTTTTCAAAAATGTGCAGCAAATGCTTCAGCTGCCACTTGATGCTACGGGAAATACCATTGCTTTAGCTATGTGGATCTTCGTTGTCAATGTGATGTCTCTACCCTTCACTATTTTATTGAGATTGGTCATTGCTCTCCTCCCAAGAAGTAAATGTCTTCTGATTTCCTGGCATAGGTTTCCCCGTAGTAACCCATGGATGCGAGAGCTGGACCATAAGGAAGGCTGAGTGAAGGAAGATAGATGCTTTTGAATTGTGGTGCTGGAGGAAAATTCTGAGAGTCTCTTGGACCGCAAGAAGATCAAACCAGTCCATACTTCAAGAGGCAAAGATGAAGTACTTTGGCCACATAGTGAGAAGACAGGAAAGCTTGGAGAAGATAATGATGCTGGGGAAGATGGAAGGAAAAAGGAAGAGTGGCTGACCAAGGGCAAGATGGATGGATGGTATCCTTGAAGTGACTGGCTTGACTTTGAAGAAGCTGGGGATGGCACGGCTGACAGGGAGCTCTGGCGTGGGCTGGTCCATGAGGTCACAAAGAGTTGGAAGCGACTGAACAAATAAACAACAACAAGCCACTTGATGCTGAAAACAAAGCATGCTACAGGGTTTTCTTGGCAAGATTTGTTCAGAGGTGTTCTACCTTTGCCTTCCTCTGAGGCTGAAACCTTGACATGCCCAGGGTTTCATAAACTGAATGGGGATTTGAATTCCGGTCTCCAGATACATAATCTAACACTCAGACCACTATACCATGCTGACTCTTTATTCAATGACAATGGATGTATGTCATGTTAGGGGTGAGATGCCACAGATTCTGAGAACTGAAACCTGGTGGCTAGCAGCACCAACAAAAAGCAGGACTCTGATATTAATAGCTGATTTATAGGTTTATTTGTTTTTGAAAACCAGATTTGTCAGGAGCCAAGAAAGCTCCCAAAGACAGCTGGAATTGCTCTGAATCCAAAACCCCTTTCCTACCCAAATCGGGCCTGATGATGCCAGGTCTGCTTATTCCAACTCTGGCATTCTGCCCATGACCCAATGTTGGCTCTCTGCCATTCACAACAGTCATTTCAGACATCAACACAAACCTACAAAACCAAGATAAATAAGATCCAAAATAGTCTCAGTCCTTGGAGAAATCAGCCCAAGTGCTGCAATTTAATCTTCATCAGAAGGCAGCTTGGACAGACCAGAGGGTATTGAGAATTGTATAATGTTCACCCTGAATTGACAGTAACAACCATCACCCCACACAAAGTGAAGGATGAGGAAGTGAATATTTCTTCAAGACTGTCACATTCAGCTTGCCTCCCCAGTGAAGCAGGTAGAAGCAGGAGCAGCTGGGCTATTGCTCTCTTTCAATTCCAGACTTTTTCTTCCGTTGTCAGCCCCCGTCTTGGCAGTTTAAGATGTGACAATCATATGGCACTGTATATTTAAATCTATCAGGGAGGTGGGTGGCCTTTCCCCCCATGTAGCCATAAGTTTAGTTCCCCATATGAACCCTTGAACTTCATAACCTACAAATGACACCTTCCCTTGTACTTTTCCACACCTTGCATGTTGTCCTGGAAGCCTTACATTTCTCACCTTCTTTTCTCTTCCATTTGCTTCACCACATTATGCACTTCCTTTCTGTGCATCCTCAGCTACACTTCCAGTTCTTTCTTCCTCCCCCTTTGTTTCATTTCATGCTCCTGCCTCCTTGCTCTCTAAACAATGGTGATGGCTCTTTTCCTCCCACTGTGAACAATGGGAGAACTCTTAACTGCCCTTCCTAAGGTAGAACTTGTTTATATTCCCCTGAACATCTAATAAAATGCATAAAAATGGTACATCAAATAAATCAAGCAAAACAACAGATTTATAATTGTGTTGCAGGTTTTAACCTCCTTTTCCTTCCAGCAACTCCTGTGCAAGAAACTTTACAAAACAGACTTCACTTCATTGTAGGTTTTTCGGGCTGTATGGCCATGTTCTAGAAGCATGTTGACTTTTCAGGAGTATGGCATTCCTTTCTAAGTGCTTAAATACAGTCTGTTTAATGGTCTGTTCAGTGAAATGGAATGAGGATACTTATGTTGTGTTATAATTGTACTATGTGTTATAGTTGTACTGTATTAAGCTTTTTTTATTGTAAAATGCAGAAAATTATAAGTAACTCATTTGTAACTTTCTAGTCCCAGGATCTAAATGAAACATAAATAAATTAAATAATCCATTTCTATTTGTAAGCTTGGTAAGTTATCACAAGTATGAAATTTAGAGGAGCTATCCAATGTGCTTTACCGAGGGATAAGATTCAGCTGCATGAATAGCTCCATTAACATTCATGTCTTTCTTATTAAAATATAAATGAAAGGTTTTCATGAGACATGTTGTGTCATGATATATTTTGTTATTATAATTTATGTAGCCCATATCTTGTATAAGAGGTTAGTTTTATTTCGGATCGCTAGCTAAACTGAATTATTGTGTCATGAAATGATGCACATTTAAAACAAGTGTCACCAACATGAAATGTTTGGAAAGCTCTGGCCTGCATTTCTGATTGTTGTTATCTATGTGGGGAGAGTGGCATCTGAGGGGACAGGCTAGCCTCATTTTCCCCTTCTCACATCTGATCAGGGTGTAAAATGTGATCAAGTATTGGTCTTTCCAATTGTTGTATCTGAACTGGCTATATTAATGCTGGTACACTCTGTTAAGCAATACACTGCAAGCCATTGCATCCTTGCCTCTGAGCTGAGGCACCAGAGAGAGACAGAATGAGTGACTGCTAAGAGAAAACAAGAATTGATGTTAAAGGAAATTAAAGGGAAGAAATTGCTAACCATTCACCACAACAGAACACATCAATTAGTTTTTTCATCAGAAATGGTTCTCACATGCAATCTCCTCTGCTTCAAATCTGAACAGAAGTGCTCAAACTTTTAGCTTTGCCTTACTTAGGGTGTATTATTTCCCACTCTATTTGATCTAATGCCTTTTCTCTTTTTCTTCCTCTCCCTTGCCTTCTTCCCAGGAGTAGCAGTAACAATATGTTCAGTGAGGTGGTAAGATTGAACTTTGAAATTGCCAGCTTCAGCAGTCTGTCTGGGACGCAGCCCATCACATGGCAAGTGGAATATCCCCGAAAGAGGACAACAGACACAGCCCTCTCTGAAATCTTCATATGCCAGAAGGATCTTGTGGGGATTGTTCCACTGGCAATGGTAAGAGAGTTCATTTTGATATGTCTATTGTGGGTGTTAAAATTAGTTTGAATGTTTTATATTCTTTGATTGCTGTTATTCATATAATGTTTAATTGGTATGCATTTGCACTGCTTTATTACATTCCCTTAATGTTGTTTGAATGTGAACATTATAATTTATTTATTTGGTTATACACCTGACATGATTAGAGGCACTGAATCAAGGACAGCTTGTTAAGTCAATATGTAAGTTGTAGTGTTTCAGTGGGTTTTCTCTAGATGGAATTACAGGTGTAAATCTTTGCTTAATTTATTATCTCAAACAAGGGCAGTTTTCTACTTATGAGCGAGATTATGCACATTTTTGTGCATTTTCTACTATTTTCAATGAACAAAGAAGTCATTGTTATTCCCCCTCAAAAATTGTGTGTTTTATTCAGAATTCATAACACATGCAGAAAAGTTGAAGATCCTACAGCTACACTTCATACACCTCATAGTCATACAGCTACACTTTGCCCCATAAACACTGCCATATAATGCAGTTTGAAACTGTATTATATAGTCAGTATAGACTCATATTATGTAGTTCAGTGCAGTTAAACTGCATTATGTGCAGTTTGAAATGACGTTATATGGCAGTGTAGAGAAGGCCTTCAAGAGTGATCAGAATTTGAACTTGGGCTTCTCCGGTTGAAATCCCACCATTTTTGCCAGTACAGTGCTGTTTCAACTGTTACCCTGAACATATTCAGCCAAAAGGAAGCTCTAAACATTCCATCAATAATATTTATTAGGCTTGGGTAACTACGGAACAATTTGGTTCTAAACTCGTTTCGTTTTTAGGGGGGCCCTTGCGTTTCGTTTTTTTAAAGAATTCCGAAATTTTCCTTTTAAAAAGTTCGAAATATATGAAATTTTGTAAAATTACGAATCGATTCGTTAATGGCGGACGCGATTGCGCAATATGCTAAAAAAACCCTCCAAATGGGACAGGGGGAACTTCTGAAGCTTCCCTCTCCCTCTGTTGTTGACTGTTGGTGTGATAATTTATTTTTTATCACTGATAAAACAAACAACAACTATAAAACTTGCACCAAACATACGGAAATAATTACGAAACAATTACAAAACAATTTCAAAACAATTTTGAACCAATTACGAAACAATTACGAAACACTACGAAATAAATTGGAAAAATTGTTTCGATTTTTAATTACTCCTCACAGTAGTCCTGCATGGCTCAATATTGGATTGTAAGCTAATTTAAATACGAATTAATAACGAATTACGAAATTAACAAACGAAACCGCCCAAGCCTAATATTTATATCATATTAGCTTGGGGACCCGGCGATGCCCAGAAAAGACATTGTTTTTGGGTGTTAGGTATTCTCAGTTTGGTGTGGGTGAGCAACAATTCCCAGAATCATGGGTCGATCCTCCCCAAACCCTGCCAGTATTCATAGCTGGCCATTTTAGTTTTGTGTGCCAAGTTTTATCCAGATCCGTTGTCAGTTGGGTTTCGTGCTCTCTGGATGAGGGTGAACTACAATTCCCAGATTCCCAGGGCAATCACCCCCAAACCCCGCTGTATTCACAGTTGACCATGTTGGTTCTGTGTGCCAAGTTTGGTCCAGATCTGTTGTTGACTGGGTTCAGTGCTCTCTGGATGCAGGTGAACTACAACTCCCAAAATCAAGGCCAATTCCCACAAACTCCTGCAGTATGTTCAGTTGGGCATGGGGGTTTTCTGTGTCAAGTCTGGTCCAGGTGCATTGTCGGTGAGGGTCACTGTTTCTCTGCATGCAGGTGAACTATAATTCCCTTTTCCCCAAACTTGTCCAGTATGTTCTGTTGGCCAAGTTTGGTCCTGGTCCATTGTCGGTGGGGGTCACTGTTCATCTGGATGCAGGTGAACTACAACTTCCCAAGTCAATGTCAATCCCCCCCCCCCCAAACCCCTGCAGTATGTTCAGATGATCACAGGGATTCTCTGTGCCAAGTTTGGTCCCGGTCTATCATTGGTGGGGTTTGGAGTAGTCTTTGATTGCAGGTGAACTATAAATCCTATTATCAACAACTAACAAATGTCAAGGCCAATTCCACCTCAAATCCACCAGTATTAAAATTTAGGCATATTGGGTATGCATGGCAAATGTGGCCCAGATCCATGGTTTGCATTTACAATGCTCTCTGGATGTAAGTGAACTATAATTCTTCTGAATCAAGGTGAATTTTGCCTAAAGTCCTCCTGTATTTTTTGCTGGTTGTGTGGGTTTTGTGTGCTAAGTGAGGTCAAAGGTCACCGTTGGTGGGGCCCAGAGTACTCATTGATTGCAGATGTTCAGTTGCTGATCAATTCCTCTGTTTGCTGTATGTGATATGAAAGGGTTAATTAAGGGAGAGGCAGTGGGCAGGGTCATGCAAATGAGAGAGAAAGGAATCCTGGAAGGTGTCTTTGGTGGAGGAAAAACAGAAAATCTAGGCTGAAATGGTCCCCATATAAAAGCCTTCACTTGGGTGGTGGGCAGGATGGCATTTGTGGAGGACATTGGCAGGGCTCTTGGACATGTTCATGGTCAGTTTTGGGAGGGCCATGGGTGTCTCCTGCCCTGCTTGTGGAGGCTAGATTCTGTGTAAACAGACATCTCTGCCATATACACACATACACACATTTTCACTTTTATTGTGTGTATAGATAGATGTTTTGAATAAGAATATAGTGTAGCAGTTAGAAATGTGAAGAGTATGTATGAAATTCAATCTGTGCACGGTGCTAGCAGTTACTCTTTTCCAGGGTTATACAGCCAAGGTCTGGATCTTATTGTTGGTCCCAGCTAATGATTCATTGAATCATTCAGCAATTGATTAAATGGGTCATTATCTGCTGACTTTGAACAACCACATTTTTCCAATGGCTTTCTTATCCAGTGTCTCTCTTTCATTTCCTTCCTATCACATTTCCTTCACTATCTAGTGCCACACTGTCAGGAGGATTTGAACTAGAATTCGCAAGAGTAATCATCAAATGAACCCTTTGCCATTATTGAGCAAATCACTATTGTTGTCATGAATTTTTGAATAAAATAACATAGGAAATCAACTATAGACTTGAATATGGCATTCTGAATGGAGAAAAAAAGCTGAAAAAGAGTTCCCAAAAGTCCAGTTTTGTCTAAAGCGTGTAAACTTGAACAGAAGATGGGGAGATGGTGGCAGGGTATAAATAAAGTTTGTTTATTTATTTATTTATTTTGCCATGGTCGCTTGTGCAGTGTGAGCGGAGGCGTTGTCTATATAGGAACAGGATTCCTTTGGACAACTTGTTGCACCTTTTGCCCTTCAGAACTGCCTTCAATTGGTCCAGAGGTTCACTGTAATATCTTGCATTGATGATGGAACCAATTTGAAGGTAGTCCACTAGCAGCACACCCTCCTTATCCCAGAACACAGACGCCATCATCTTAGTGGCTGATTTTTGCACCCTGAACATCTTTGGATGAGGAGAACCATGGTGCCTCCACTCTTTAGACTGCTCCTTGGTTTCAGGGTCACACAAATAAATCCAGGTCTCATCCATAGTGACCAGTGGATCCAGGAAGTTCTTATCAGTCCAGAAATGCTGACAAATGGACCGAGAAGTTTTCACTCGCATGCTTTTCTGATCTGTTTTCAAACATTTGGAGACCACTTTGCAGAGAGCTTCTTCATGTTCAAATGTTCATGGATAGTGACACAAACACGTTAATGAGAAATCCCCATGATGCCTGCTATTCCTTTAGCTGAAATTTGCCAATTCTCCAGTATGAGGTTGTGCACAGCATCGAAGATCTCTGGAACAACAACCACTCTCAGTCGTCCAGGACATTCCTCATCATTGGTGCTGAAGTGGCTCATTTTAAATTTGGCAACCCAGTTCATAACTGTAGAATATGAATGGCATTAATCCCCCAATGTCTGCGACATATCACCATGAATATCCTTCGTGGACTTTCCTTGCAGAAAAAAGAATTTTATCACTCCTCTTCTCTCATTTGCTGTGAATAGCGCCTTAGCTTCCGCCATTTTGTTTTCCCGCGTACCTAGATCACTGTTGCCATAAGCTACAAACACAAAATTTTGAAAACATATATTAGACACATAAGGCTTTCATGTGATGTAATATTCATTACCATAGACACAAAACAAGAACACAAAGCCAAAGATTTATCAGCAGCTCCTCATATGTAAATCTCATGTGATTGGCTATGCAGACAACATTATATCATATAGATCCGAACTGCACTGCACATATGCATTTGGGGTAAAAAAAAAACAGATAGCAAGAAATTAACATAAAATTAGGTGTGGATATGTTTACAGAATTGAAGCCCGTTCACCTAGATACTGTTTTTCCCCACTAACCTTCTGGCAGCACCTCTGTTCTTTGTCAGCTTTTACCAGTCTTTGAGAAAGAAATTTGAATACTATCTAAAATGTATAGTTTTATCTTTAGTCCTTTGTTCTAATGCTGGGTCTTTTTGTGACCTTGACTACCTCAAAGAACAGAGTGCACATTATGCCTCTCTCTGTTTTACCTAAAACTCTATCAAAGTGACAGGGAACCCAAGAGACATGTAGTCCAGCCTCCTTTTTGCCAAGCAGAAATATACACGAAAGCATTATCTCTATCTTTCAGCAGAACCTCCCTACCTCCATAGATTTCAAACCTGGATCCAGTAAAAGAAAAAGAAAACAATCCATTTTAAATCTCCATTTTCAGGTGTTTCTTAAAGTGTGTGTATATATATGTATGAAGGCAATCAATGTTAAATCTCATTTTTTTCAAATAATAATAATAATCTTTACTTATATTCTGCTTTATCTCCCCGGAGGGACTTAGAGTGGATTACTGTATACATATAAGGCAAGCATTCAATGCCTATTTACACTATTTACACTAACAATAACATACAATACACAGATAAGGTAAAGGCCTTCCCTTTTTTCTATCTCCGTTGTCTGGAGGCGATGCTCA